CAAGTCTCCCTAGGCCTGTTTACTGTCTCCAAAATGGAGATAACCCATTCTGGCATTATTGTAAGGACTAAGTGAGGTACTATACACATACACTGGCATAGTAATTTTTGTTAATTGTAAAATGAAAGAATTAATGAAAAATATTGTTAGTCCTTTCTAATTGTATTAGTATATTTCCCTTGCTATAGCAAAATACCTGAGAATAAGTAATTTGTAAAGAAGAGATTTATCGAGCTCACGGGACAGAACCTGAATGTCCACACTTACATTGCCCACTAGTTTGGCCTCTAGTGAAGGCTTCATTGCATTACAGCAGTAGTGTGGTGCAAGAGACGGGAGGTCACATGGCGAGGCAGAAAGCAGAGAGAAACCAGCCTTGCTCTTTTATAACTACCTGCTCAGGAGAAGTAGCCAGGGCCCCAGGAGAAGCACCTTAATTCCTTGGAAGGGAAGTGCCTCCAGTGACCTAATGACCTTCTACTAGATCTTAGCTCTTAAAGGTCCCACTACTTCCTTTTTAAACATTATACATTTATTTATTTTTACACATATTAGTTGTAATAGTAACGGAATTCAGTGTGGTATTCACAAACACATACCACTGTTCTAATCCTCACAGCTCCCACCGCAGTACCCTGCCCAGGCCCCAATCACCACTGTTCTATTTTCAGGTCAACTGATTTTCAGTCTCCACGTATGAGAGATAACATGTAGTACTTGTCTTTCTGTGTCTGGCTTACTTCGCTTAACATGATTTCCTCCAGTGCCCTCTACCTTAACACTGCCACTCTGAGGGCTGTGCCTCTAACACGTGAGCCCTTGCGGGGACGCTCAACTGACATCCAAGCCACATTCTGTGACAGTCTTTTGAAAAGCACCTGAAATGGTAATCCCTTGCTTGCTCCTTTTGTTCTTGTAAATGTCAAAATACTTATGACTTTGAGAGTCTGTGAACAGTTATTGAAGACATTACTTGTGTGTATATGTTCACTTCTCTTTTCATACCTGTTAAAATCTTATAATACATACATACAAGCTCACATAAAACACAGGAATTTCAACCTCGGCCCCGCACTGTTGGTAATCAGTGTGTCAAGTGCTGACTATGGAGTCTTGTCCTGTCTACTTTTACTCAGTCTTACTGTCACAGGGAGCTCAGTGAGGATGGGATGGATTCAGGCCGAAAGGGGCTCACACTTAAATGTGGAGATGGTCACATGATGACAGAATTCTCGATTTAGAAGCTCAACGTGGAGATTACCCCTGCTGAAAATATTCTTAATGTATATTTTAGTGGTAAATTGTTAACATTCTTTCCATATTTCCTGACCTCAGCTATTCCCTCCCCTCCTCTGTGGTTAAGGGTAAAATTCAGGAATGGATAACTTTCAGAGAATCAGGGAGACAGGACTTCGCTTGTGGTTAAAAAAAAAAAAGAAGAAGAAGAAAAAAGAAAAAGAGGTGGGAAGAGAGCGAGGTAGTTTAGTTCCTTCGAAACTTGTTTGGAGAAGTCGGGGCTGGGGAGGGCAGGGAGGGGGCCCCTCCAGAGACCCAGATGAGGCTCCAACTTCCCTCTTGCCTTCATTTGGTCTGTGATGCCACTGTCCTGGAGAAAATATGAACTTGCATTCGTGTCTCCAAGGCAAGATATTAGAAGAAAAAATCTTAAGAGATTTTGTATACACTACAGAAATAAAAGCAATAAACTGTGACAGCAGATGAGACTTTCCTGATAGAGATACTGTAATTTCTCAAAGCTAATAAAAAAGCCCTCAAATACATCCTCAAAGAAACTTGACTGTTTATTGTAGCGTCATATTTACAACCCACATAAGGTGCAGTCAACTAATATCATTATAAACTCAGATTTATGGCCACTTAGATTAGGTTTTCCCTCCCACTAGGACCCCAATTTGACCCCCCAAAAAATCCCCTCCCTACTTGTACAAGGAATTCCTGTTGTAACTGGGGACTCTGGGGGCTGCGGACATTCAGTATGGTGTTGGTGACAGTTTTACGTATTCCATTTTCTTCAGGGGATAAAAGTTACGTGCAGAGGGCTGAATTCTTGGTAGAGGATCTATCAGTTTCCGTTACAGTGATAATCAGAGATAAAAGATTTCCCTGGTATAAAAACTCTAATAAAATTACAAGTAAATCACTTGGCCTGATCGCAGATAGAGAAATCAGTGTGACTTTTAGAAGGTGAAACCTTTGATTCTTTAGTAACATTTTAGTAAACTCATTTTTTAAGAACTGCAGCAAACCACACACTGGTCATGTGAATCACGTAGCTCACCAGATTTGTGAGGCCAGGGGACTAGGAAAAGATGACAAGAGTAACCTCCCCCTCGCACCCCTTATCTCAGAACAACCAGTGTCCCAGAGCCAAGTACTGACTTCAGGGCTGCCCACAGCTCTACTCTCAGAAAGCCCTGAAGAAGAGGAGGGAGGCAGAAGACAATCATTTAAAGTAGATCACATTCAGTTTTATTAAAAAAAAAAAAAAAAAAAAAAAAAAAAACAGCTGGGGCAGTTATTCATGCGCTCTGTAATGCCATTGGTATGCCTGATCTGGCCAAGATATTAAAAAGATATTTGAGGAAATGTCTCCAGTTAGTTAGTGTCTCCGGCACAAGCTCTGGCAGAGGCAAACAGAATTCTCTGCCTTTATGTTTCCCTATGCAAAGAGGAGGGGAGGGAATGCTTACGCGCTGATTTAGGGTGACACATCCATTATAATGAAAGCCTGCGCCGCTTGCCAGCACTCCTGGCTGATCTGCCTCCTCCCAGATGCTCAGCCATATGTCCCAAGCTTGGTGTGAGTGACAGTTGTGTTGGTGGAGAAGGATTCCTGGGCTCTGGGTGTTTTTAACAGAGATCCCAGAAAGCGCTGAGGTTGCTGGCTCAGGTGAGAAAGGTAGCAGGAGCGGCTCATCAAGCGGAAGCTGCGCACTCTGAAAGGCACTTCAGTGGTCTGACCGCAGGGTGGAGGGAGGTGGACTGCCTCAGGGCCGAGGGGATCGCTGAGGAACGAGTCCAGGCTCTGCTCGTGGCTCTTTCCACTGCTGCTGGCCTCCCAGGGCAAGTTCTCCTCCTTCCTGCCTCGCCCCCGCGGCGGCTCTGCGCTGTCTGTCTTCCAGCAGCTCGTGCTCGTCCTCACTTACCAGGGCCCCAGCAGATGAGCTCCTAGCTGCACGCGCGCTGCGTCTCTGTGAAAGCAGCTGCTGCTTGGACTGCGCGGGTTTCCTGGCCCCCTGCCTATTGCAACCCTAGCTTAATTGCCTCTGCTCTTGGAATGAAACCAACATTTATTGAACACCTACTATATGGATGACATCATGTTAGGCCCTTCAGAAAAACAGAATTAAGTGTGATATGTGATAACGGGTTCCTGTCTTTAAAAGTCTACAATCTAGATGTGAATTGGAGCTCCTATCTTATGCCCTGACAACCTTGGCCAAGTTTCTTAACCTCTTTTTACCTCATTTCTTCAACCATAAAATAGGGAGAATAATGGTACATATGACTGCTGTTGATAGATTAGTATATGTAAAATGCTTAGAAGAATACTTGATACATAAGCATTCAATAAGTGTGAGCTGTTTGACCCTTAACTGGAAAGACGCAAAGGGAATAAAAGAGGAATAAGATATTCATCCACCATATTTTATAATCAGAGATTTGTGTAAACTAAATTCTCGCAATACATTTAAGGTAGACATTACTGTTATCCTTTCCTTTTTTACCATAAAGAGGCTGTGCTAGAATAATAGTTTGTCCATGCTTTCAATATTGAGAGAACTTACAGTCAAAGCCAAAATTCCTTGGTTACCAAAGCCCATAATTTTGGAAAGATAATTTAAGATATAAGTATTATTTCGAAAACATTCAGGATATATGGCAAAATGATATCTGACTGGGTTCGTGTATAAATTGTCTGCGACTACGCTACTGTAAGAGCTTACTTTGCCACGAAGGTACTGGAAACAGGAAGTTTTCTTCCTTCCACTAGGCCTGGAGAGAAAGGAGGAAGGCACAATTCCTGGAGCTCAGGGAGGGTGGCCACGTGGGGAGAGGGCAGCCTGGCAGGAGCTGTGCCTCTGGGTGAAGGGACACAGCCAGCCTGCTCATGACCAGGAGGGACGGAGCCAGGGAAATAAATACCCTATCTCCCTGCCCCCTTCTCTCTCCTGCCAGTGCCCTTGGGAGGGCAAGGGAGCCCTTTGCCACAGTCCACAAAGACCATCCTCCCTGTGCAGGGAAAAGGTGGGGAAAGGCAGAGAATGGCTGGGGTTCACGTGAGACATAATCCACACAAAACGCTTGCAAGGAGAGGAGACGGCTCACAAAGCACAGAGACTGAAACAGAAAATACTCAACTCTTGATGGTTGCTATTATCTCTTTGTTTCCCTGCATTAGTTAGCTCAGTACTCCTGTGTCCAGCTCAGCTCCTCTGGCCTCACCACAAATGAAAAAGTTTTCTCGTCCCTGCAATGGCATAAATAGCAAGTCACTAAATAGTTAAACTGAGCTTGTTTTGGGTTTTTTGTTTTGGGGAGGGTTAGGGTTTTTTTTTTTCCTATAATCTTTTGCCTTTCTATTTTTTTAAAAGGAAGTTTTAAAAGAGTACTCTTGAAAATCATCTTTTTTAAACACAACCTTTGTGATTTGTTTTATTGGAAGTTCTTAACAGAGGAAAGGGGCCTGTTTGTTTAGATTGCTATGCAACGGGAGGCATTGAGCAAATGGTTTCCCAGTTTTTATTATTTTAAACTTCACCCAGGAGAAAATTGATCCAAGTTTAAGAAAAAGAAGAGGAATGGAATATAGACTCCAGTGTTTTCAAATTTCTAAAAGATATTGCAACTAACAGAACTTTTATATAAGTTCTTTATTTTTTTACTTTCAAGGTAAAATCAATAGAAAATATGTTTATATCTACCCAAGTAGATTTTTTCCAGCCAATTTAAATACCATATGCCAAATAATTACTTACTGTTGAAAACTTCTCATTTTCAATCAGATGTCTTCAAACGGTTAAGTTGCTGTAGAATTATTGTTCATCTCCCTTCCCAGAGGGAAGGCACAAAGCAAACCAGCTACAGAGTAAAGAAGGGCCAATACCCACACAAATTCTCACCCCATTTCAAGCTCATCCCTAGTTTTGTTTACAAAAGCCTTAAGTTCCCCATAGAGCTATTTTTTCATGATGCCAAGAGGTTTTGGGTTGACGTCTATGTCAGTGCTGACTCTCAGATTGGCAGCCTTGGTGAAGTTTCTGAATCTTCTGTTTAAGCTAGAGTGTCCCACACTTGGTTAACTCAGACATCTGGAAGCCAATGGTGGGGAAAGAGAGCAAAGGTTAGGAAAAAAAATAACACTCAGTAGCAACCAGCAAAACAGAGTTGTCTGGAGCAACAAGAAGGGACTGTAAATAGACATCGGCTCTTGTGGCACTGGTTCATCTTTTAAAAACAATGCCCTACTGCTCATCTAATGCTGGAAGAAACAGGTATAAAAGAAGTAAATAAAAACCATTAAAATACCACTGCCCCAAAACTACCAGTACTAACACTTTCATACATTGTTTCTAGTTTTTAAATATTTACTCTATATGTATGTAACATTACAAATACATGCAACAAGTATTTTTGAACTTAAAAAAGATGATTTTAAACATACAGGTTTATATCCTGCAATTTAAAACAAACATCACACTTACATATTTTCTTATCGTTATATATTTTCAGAATTTTTAATTAGCCACATAATTGTTCATCCTACAAATGTGGCAAAATTTATATCAGCAACCTTTATGTATTGTTGGCATTCATTTTTTTAATTCTTTGATGTTGCAAGCGTTTTGAAGAATATCCTTGACATGATGTCCTTATAATTCTCTCTGTAGGAAAATGCCTAATAATGAAATCACAGGGTATAAAGCACATACAGCCCAAATCACCATCTACAGAGGTTGTCCCAAGTCCTGGTCTTTGGAGCAGCTTATGAAAATCCCTATTTCATGATATCCTACCAATCCTGAGAATTATCTTTAAAACCCCTGGCCTATTTGAGAAGTAGAAAAACCATGCCTTCATATTTTAAAACTTCTTTCTTCTTGGCTTAATAGTAAGTCTGAACATGTATTGACCATGCCAACTTAGCTATGCAAATCCTGCTTTCCCTTGGAGTGGGCTTAGAGTGCCACGTCCCTGAGAAAAATCAACTGCCATCGGAAGTGTGAAGACAACCCTCTTAATATAAATATCACGATCTTCCTCTCAACCTTCATTTTAATAATAATACCAAACAATGGATTCTTCTCTGTCATATTTTGTAATATAGTTGTGCCAACTTTCAAAGGCTGACGTACCCTGGAATTAAAAGCAGACTGTGGCAAGAGACCCTGGCAGCTCTCCAAACCAGAATGACAAGTGATCATTTCTGTCCTTCTGAGCCCACAGGGTATGGGGCAGGGACACAAGACTAGTGACATGGGAACCCATCTGCAAGCTGACACTTGCTCACCCCTCACATGTCAGAGACCCTGTTGACAGTTGGGTCAAGTCTACAGACCACTTCTTAAAATAATGCCTTTAACTGTTTAAAATAAAATATATAAACTATAAAAGAATCCAGTTATATTAATATTGTTAACAGAACACAAAAATCTGTAGCATGGCAATATAAGTGCTTATTTGTTAACCACTATGTAACAAAATCTAGTGATAGATCAAAAAATTACTATCATTGCAAAGATAAAGATATTTTAAGTAAATATTAGTAGAAAGTATTTACTTTTAGCAACAGTAAAGTCCAAGTACTGCAAACACCATTCTGGGTTGCTGCCTACATTTATAATGGAGAGAATGAGCATTTCAGTGAGAGTTTTGTAAGAGATGCAATTGTCTTCTCATATTGAATGCTTGAGTTCTCACCATGGACTTCAGGTGAAGAACTTGTGGTCACAGGAAGTGCTCAGAAAGTGGTAAGTTATGTAAATGCATTATCTCCACCTCCACCCAGTACTAGCAATCTGACATTTTTCTCTGGGTCCTATCCATTTTTTTTCTGTTCTTCTCTAATTACTACCATTCTGGGAAGCTGTTGGAAAGTGCAGTAGGGTTGGCTACAGCGGAAGGTCTGAGTCAAAGGGTTGAAGTCACCGTGTTAAAAACACTGTGCTTGACGAAGTTGCAGATCTATGTGCTTGGATCACTTACCCCACCTAGCACCATTGTACCACACTGTGACTTAACAGCCCATCCCCGAGAAGCAAAAGTTCAGGGTTCCAGCTATGGCTTCACCCCTAATGCCAGCTGTGTGACTGAAAACAACACAAAACAAAAAGCACAAACAAACAAGCATAAAGCCTTGACATGCCCAAGGCTTCATTTAAAAAACAATTTGGAAAAAGCCTATGTTTAAATTCTCCTTCTAACTCTCAAAATACTTGATGTTAAAACTTTTTAACTTGTGTTGTATTTTGAAGATAAATGTATCTTTTTGGAAGCGTTCTAGAGCATGAAGAGCAGAAGGCCTCACCTCTTTCCTAGAGTAATGTTTCTACCCTCTTCCTTCCTACCAGTCCCCTTTTTCTATTTTTTCTCACTCTCCTTGTAAAACATAGTTTTCCTTTTCCTTAAAGCTACAGAGTTTGCTTCTAATGTTGAGTCTGAAGTAGAGCTTACAGTTTCTCTGGGTCCTCACGGCTCGGCTCCTCTCCCTCTGGAACTGAAAGCCAGGGTGGCCCGCCTCCCTCTCAGCGCTGGTGCTGGAGCTCCGCGTGCTCTGCTCCTGGGGCACCCTGCCTTCCTCAGTAGGGACGTTCTCCTTCTTGTGCTTTTTCCCCCTTGAGGCCTCAGGCAGAAATTTCCTTCAATGTGTTGTTGCGTGGAACAAGGAAAGTATTCTATTCTCTTACTCAAATAGAGTTCACAGAGTAAATATTTTTTGTGGCTTTTCATTTCTAATCACCCAACATTTTAAACACTTGGCATTCTGCTGTGTTCAAGTGGCTGAGCCCAGACTCAGGGTGTACCCTGAGCTTCAGGTGTCAGAGAACAGGAGGCTCGGTAAATGAGGTGGCCTGGCAAGGACACCATGGGCCCCTTGGGCCCTAAGAATACTAACGAGGCAGAAGGGAGAGACACAGAGGCAGTCTGCTCTTGGCAAGCCCAGGCAGGGTTTCCTTTGATGTGAAGTCTTGCCTGATACTGCATTGTGTGTCTGCATTAGTCCTTGGCAGGCAGAAGGCAGTTCCTTTCCAACAGTGAGGTGCCCTTGTGTATTGCTGCCATCAAGTGAAAAGGGGATGCTTGCGAGTGGCTCCCAGGGTGATGGGGGAGGGGAGGAGACAGGGCAGACACTCAAGGTGTGCCAAGGTGAAGATGCTAGCCAGGGAGATGAGGCAGACCTGGGATTTACACCAGAGCTCTCAGAACATTTTGCTGATTGTACTTTGAAGTAGGAACAAGAGATACAAAGTAATTAGGAGCAAAATAATGAAAGTGATTTCCTTTGACTGAAACACAAAGAGATTTAGAAATGCCCACTGCAATTATCTCAAGTTAGTCTGGATCAAATACTGGCTTCTGAATGTTAATCACCACAGCTGACTAGACTTCTCTTAGGTTCTGTGGAGGTCATTAGTGCTGTTCTCTAAATATTTCCAGTTATCTCTTCTTTCAAACATAAGGTAGATTGTGCTTCCTGGTGCTACCAGATGAATACAAGTGATGTGGTCTCCTCCTGGCTGAAGTATTGAATTATTAATTCAAGACTCTCTAACACATGGGCTGGAGATTTAGCTCAGTGGCCCAGTGCCTGTCTGGCAAGTGCAAGGTCGTGAGTTCAATTCCCGGTACTGGAAAAAAAAAAAAGAAAGGCCCTCTAATACACTCTTTCTTCCCCAAAATGTTGATACCACCAGTATGGGGACTCCAAAATGTCAGAGCCCTCCCACCAACCCACAAAGGACAAGTGACATGAGCAAATCAATCTTTTTTGGTTTAAAGTTACTAAGATTTGAATGCCTAACCTAGAATATTGTTAACTATGAAGACCCAGAAGACTCTTTTCCTTGTCCTATTGTAGTTACAGAAATTAGACACTGAACTGTACCGCAAAGGTCCTTAATGTCCTTGAAAAATCATTTCTACCTTATTTAGGCAAGGAACTATCACAGCTGGGAACTGAATCCCTAGGAGACACTGCATTACAAGCCAACTATTTGTCCTTCTGTCTTAAAGCCATTAGCTTTGGGAAGCCCAAAGTATTATAGATAAGAGTCACAGTTGGTTCAAGAAAAACATCAGATATTTATTGAGTATGGCTAAGCCTAAAGGAAGCCATGACAGAAATTCAAGTGCATTAATTAAATCTCTGCATATATTTTTGTGGCAAGGGGACCCTCAGTCCCTGAGAAGCTTGTAACGTAATAGTGAAAAAAATGGGAAAGAATACAATTGGAAGAAACCCACTGAATCAAAAGAACTCAGAAAGGGGGCTGGGGATTTAGCTCAGTGGCACAGCGCCTGCCTGGCAAGCGCAAGGTCGTAAGTTCGATTCCTGGTACAGGAAAAAAAAAAAAAAAAAAAAAAACAACTCAGAAAGAATCCTGGCTGAAAATGAGAAGAAACACAGTTTGCATTATGCTGAAAATAATGTGTAGCCCTGAAAGGCACAGAAGGAGGGTCATTGCTTGACCCTTCCTTTGAGGTACACAAGGGCTGCTGTTAATTCTCAGGAGCTTTGAGGAAGACGTTTCCAGAATCACTTGACATTTAGAAGGTAAGATAAAATGATGGGTCAGGAGAAGGCCTGGCAATATATCCTGTAGATCTTCTTAGAAAATGATCTCTAGGTCAGGTCAAGATGGCTTTCCAAGTTGTCACTACACAGAGTTGTTTTGAGGGACCCAATAGGGTGTAACCTTTCCAGGTAGACAAATAATATAAAAGAAGAAAAGTCAAATGGTAGAAGACAGAATGATAAAGGTTTTTTGTTTTTTTTTGTGTGTGTGGAGGGGGCTGGGGGTCAAAACCAA